GCCATCGTCTTTTTCATGTTGAATTGTATATGGTGTAATGTTAATTATGTTTTATGAATATGTCCTGAAGATGGTTTATTGGACCGAAACGGCCGACATTGACATTAAACATTAAAACAGCATAATCGCATATTAGGATTTTTGTCTGTTTTTTCAGTATATTTTTCTTCATACTGTCGGATCTATATCCATATATTTGCTTATATATATATATATATATATATATATATATATATATATATATGAATTAAGTTGTCAGAAACCCACACATGTTTTGATTATAGTGGTGAAAGGTTGTGTAGCGCCATCCACACTTCTTGGAACTGCTGATTACATGACGTCGGTCCAAAAGTTTGCCAAGGACACTACGAACAAGAGACCTCAGGTTTTTCATCAGAGTGTCCTTCTCATCGTAATTGATCGTAATGAATGGAAGATTACATGCTACAATGGCATCAAGAACAAGGCTGCATCAAACATTGTCAAGCTTCGTCAAACTAGGGAAAGGAATAAAATATCTGCTGCTGTTCCAGCCATATATTCCAAGAATCCACACTCTTGCACAATCTGTGGACTTCTTTGTAAATCACTAGCAGGACTGAAATGTCACTTGCGACTCACACACAAGGTTAAATAAACAAAGTTGTCGGAACCTCATACGTCGAAACCAACGGGAGAGTCCATCATATATATATATATATATATATATGTATGTATATATATATATATATATATATATATATATATATATATATATATATATATATATATTTGTTGTTCGCCCCATCTCTCTCTTTCGGTGAAGTAGTGGATAGCGGCTTGGATTGAGGAATCGGAGAGCCGAGTTCGAATTCCAATCGAATCCATTACATTCACATACGTGCTAATACCCTTGGCAAAGGTGGGATACTCTTCTCCCTCCAGCTATGAGTAAATACCAGAACAGACTGGGTTCTATAGCCTTGGATGGCAACTGGTCTAGGAGAAGGACAACTTTGAATTCAAAACCTGCGGAGGGTCGTTTGGGGAACCTGTGGCACTTAGTGCCACCAGGTCTCTGAAATCGGCCCTTCAAAAAGTGTGGACGGTTCTGCAAAAAAACCTTCTCCACTATAATCAAATATCATGGGCATGTCCCAGGAACTGATCGGCTTGACTCTCATACGCCGAATTCGACGGAATTGAGTCGAGCATATTCATGTGTATATATATATATATATATATATATATATATATATATATATATATATATAAAGGAAGAACAGTAAGATATATAATCCAGTGTTCTTATAGATATTTTATTTTACAAAATAGTGCTCAAAGTAAAATTAAATTGGGGCTTTTAGCTTCTATTTTTGAAACATGGTTAGATCTGTGTATGGAAAAAACACATTTATAATATATATATATATATATATATATATATATATATATATATATATATATATATAATATTAGTGCTAAATATACATATATATGCAAAATATATAAATTTTTATTTCGGAGTTGTTTTTTCTGTTTTCCTTTTGAATTTGTTGAATTTGTTGGTCTGATGAATTGGATCGTATTTACGATTCCAATGGAATAAACTATGACCATGGAATATTAGCGTTTAAGCCTTTTTTATATATATATATATATATATATATATATATATATATATATATATATATATATATATATATGTGTGTGTGTGTGTGTGTAGAGGCAGCATATTTTCATTCAAGCATGTTGGTTAAATCATCTTGACATATTATGCCTATTTATTTTAGTTTTAATCCTTTCAAGTCCACAAATTGATTTCTTGGTGGCCATAGAAAATTGATTAAGAAAAATTCCAATTTTTTCAAATAATTTTATTTTCCCAAGTACTTTCAAGCTCATCTGAGACCATCTTAAGGAGTTGCGTATCTATGGATGTGTTATGAGCTAACACTGTAAATTCAAAAAAATTTTACCTCTATGCAAGGGAGGTAACTTATGTGATTTAAATTTTTTTTTTGATGAAGATTTTTTTATATATATATAATTAAAATGAAAGATGGTCCATGAGTGCTTATAATTTGAGGAATAGAAAGTCGATTTTTGTATTGTTACCAAGATAAGCGAGTAATAGAATTCGTTTACTAATACACGGTATTGATACAGGTGTGCTTATGTACATTATAAGAGTCAAACAATGATTCCATAACGATAACGGTCCTATGCATACTGCCTTAAAGAATACACGTTATCTAGAGAGGAAACGCGACGATGATAAACGCTTTCAGAGGCGTGGTCAATGTTCTGATCTTAACCCAATTGAAAACCTTTGAGCGATGATGGACAAGCGTATCCGTAATATGAAAGTTAACACACAAGATTAGCTTTTTATGCGAATTAAAGAATGCTGGAAAAATCTGGCGTAAAACGTTGACTTACTAAAGAATTTAGTCTATAGCATGCCATGAAGAATGAAGACCATTATTAAAACTAAAGGTTACCCAACAAAATACTAAATCATTTGGTGCATCAAAATATATCATTTATTCGCTCCTCTCTCGTCGTTTTTTCGGCGTATGGGGGTCAAGAAACTCTGATTCTAGGGACTGACAGCCAGGCGCCTGAATAGATGATTTGATTATAGTGGTCATGGCTTTGTTCAGAGCCAGCCGCATTTATGAAGAGCTGAATACATTGACTTGGTGCACCACGTGCCTCTACAGGTTTTTGTATTCGGTGTTGTCCTTCTATTGACCAGTTGCGATCCAATTCTGTAGAACCCGGCAGCCCGCATTGAACAAAAAAATGAAAACGTTTTGCACTTATGGTATCTGTTTGCAATAGAATTTCGTAATAATGTTTTGTTTTGTTTTGTTTTGTTTTTTGCGGAGAAGCCATTGTATTTCTTATACATATAGAGAGGTGTGGTGATTTTCTAAGCGTCGTTTAGATGTGGCACAAGGGTGAAAATATGGAGGACCCAGTGAGGAACTAACTCGCTTTTCAGTCGTAAATTGATCGAACGAGACAAGCATGCTAACCAATTCCTCAAGTTGAAGTTTCCAATAGAGATAGTTAGACATGGACAGTATAGACGGATATATAGTGATCGATTGATAGATAGATAATTATCTGCTGAATGTGATAGCTAAATAAGTATAAACACAATAACATACGGAGGAACATATTGTGATATAGAGAAGAGAAACACACACACACACACACACACACACACACACACACACATATATATATATATATATATATATATATATATATATATATATATATATATATATAAGTATATGATTGGTGTATAAGGAATAAATTCCAATAACCAACAATTACAATTCTTAAAAGATTGCTCAATACAGAATAGAGCGAATATAATTATTTATTTAAAAATTATAACATAAATATGTTATAAAATCACTAAAAAAAGTGCGTATATATATATATATATATATATATATATATATATATATATATATATATATATATATAAGTGCGTTTGTATGGGTGTGTAAAAATTTCAGGTAGAGTATATCTGTAACACTACAATATGAATAAAGTCAAAAGGAAACTTATCTCAGCTGACGCGATTCATATTCTGAAATGCATTCATTATACACACACACACACACACACACACATATACACACACACACACATATATATATATATATATATATATATATATATATATATATATATATATCATATGCCATACCTTCGTAATCACCTTTGTACTCACCTAACTCTTTCCGAATCGACACCACTGTCATCAGATTGACACCCAAACACTTTTAAATATTCGTATTAGAGCTTCTGGTGCGAATGTCAACCAGTATAGCATGCCGTTTGCAAATTTCTGATAGAGTGCATTCTGTCATGGTGATCATTTTCACATAGACGATGTCCAACTGACCGTTTTATAAAAAAAAAAAACACATGTGCGAAATGAAAAATAGAAAATGGCGAGAATTTACCTATCGCTTTCACTTTGTCTGTGTCTCTGTATATATATATATATATATATATATATATATATATATATATATATATATATATATATATATTACTCTATTTATTGAACAATTTAGATCATGCCACATTGACTGATAAACTCTTGCAACAAAAAATTGTCAAATTGCTATATTCGTAAAAAAAAAAAAAAAAACACGCACTCACTTAAATTTTCAAAAAAAATTCAACCTTAGCGTTGCGACTGCACGCTCCAAAAGTTTCTATTCGTTAATAATAACACATTTAAAAAAAAAAACAGAACATATTTCGATTAACATTTAATTTTTTCGTTTCTGATGCTACCTGAATTTTACTAAAAAACAAACTAATTTCCATGCCTGAAGATGACTGAATGTACAGTTGAAAGTACTTGTAGATTTAAAAAAAAAAGACCTTATACAGCTTGTGGTTATTCAAAACAAGCATCATAATATTCATCGAGTGATTCGTAGGTTAATTTTCGCCATTTTACATCATTAACTTTACTAATCTACTTTTTGTATTAATGATTCACTGTATATATATATATATATATATATATATATATATATATATATATATATATATATATATGTAAAGGAGAGAGAAAGAGAGAAAGATGATATAGATATGGGCAGGATGAGACAGGTAGATAGAAAGAAACAGACTGGTATAGATATACAGGGGGCCGACACTATTTTTGGGTCACTTTGAAAAGTGTGCTTAAAAGTGTTTTTTGCTGCCGAGAGCTTTTCTGTTGATGAGTAGGTAGTTCAGCAGTAACTGTCCATTAATTTTATGAACATTGATTGATGGGTTTGTCTTTGGTTTCATGTTTTCCTTATTTTTACTTCAACTTTGGCGACACTATTTTTCGGACATGACACAAATTCTGGTTTTTTTAATGATTTAGTCGTCGAACGTCTACACTATGCAAATTCTCTGAAGGTAAATTGTACCTTGACCATTACATTTGAGTATATTTAACATTCACTGCGAAAACGTATTAAAACCCTGAAGAAGAATGCATGGAAAAGAACTCATCCGTTTGGTCCAAAAGAAGAGAGAAGACGGGCTCAGCATCCGAAAGATCGCCGCTGAGATGAAGCTACCGAAGTCAACAGTTGAATACATGCTAAGTACAGACTATGAGCGGAAGAAGAAGAAAAGAGGACGGAAAAAATAATTTCCAAGAGAAGAGAAAGAAGAATGAAGAGGAGTGTTATGAGTTTGTTATCATCTGGAGAAAAGGTGACAGCGAAGAAAGTAAAGGAGAAGTGTGAAATTGACGTCAGTGTTCGCACTGTACAAAGAAAGCTACACGAAATTGGACTTAAGTATGCTAAAATCAAGAAAAGAATTACACTAACGAGAAAACACAAGGAGGCAAGGGTGGGAAGCGCCAAAAGATGGAGAACAAACCATGTCGAATTCAAGAAAGTGATATTTACTGATGAAAAACGTTATAAGTTCGATGGACCTGACGGCTGGTGTACATGGTCGAGAAAAGGTGAACCTATTATTCTCAACAAGAGATAGATGGGAGGAGGAGGAGACCTGGGTTGGCGTATGGTATTTCCGAATGGAAACTTGTGGTTCGGGTGGTTAAAAGGACGTCAAAATAGCTTGAGCTACAGAGAACTTTTGGAAAAGAGAGCCCTACCACTCATAGAAAAAGAAATGGGAAGTAATTTTATTTTGCAGCAAGATAACTGCAGCATCCATGTGGCCAAATCGGTAAAAAAAATTAGATGTGTGAAGCAAATATAACTACTCTGGAATGGCCTGCGAGAAGTCCAGGAAATACTTGCAGAGCTTGTTTACGACGGGCCAGAGAGGCTGAACTGTGGCAGCGCATACAAGATGCTAAAAATAGACTGCTAGAAACACGAAGAGACGTTATTATCAATATGTACGAACATTATGAAGATAGACTGATAGAAGTCATTGAAAAAAAAGGGTGCTGCCATAAACTATTAGCATTGTTTCTGCAATGTCCGAAAAATACTGTCGCCTGTGTAATGTTAAAAATAAAAATACTTCTAATTTGAATTCTGCTTTTCCATTTGTAGTATTGAAACAGTTTTTAAATGTTATTGCCATTACACTAAAACAGTACAGACTGCCTGTGCTACCTAAAACTTGAAAAAATAAAGTGTCTGAAAAATAGTGTCGGCCCCCTGTAGACAGACTAAAATAGATACGAATAGATTGCTTGACAGTTATTAGCAAGCAGATAGATAGATAGATAGATAGATAGATAGATAGATAGATAGATAGATAGATATAAAGAGACTGAGACAGACATGTAAATGACAGGGAGACAGACAGGCATGCAAAAAGACAGACAGATAGAGACAAACTGAAGGATAGATAGATAGATAGATAGATAGATAGATAGATAGATAGATAGATAGATACAGACAGACAGACAGACAGACAGACAGACAGACAGACAGGTAACAAACTGAGAGAAAGACCAGCACACAGTCAGATTCACAAACAGATAGACAGATAAAACAGACTGATAGATAGATAGATAGATATGAAGAGATTAGGATAGATAGATAGATAGATAGATAGATAGATAGATAGATAGATAGATAGATAGATAGATATGAAGAGACTGGTAAAAGACTGAGAGACAAACAGCTAAGGATAAACTGAGGGATAGATAGATAGATAGATAGATAGATAGATAGATAGATAGATAGATAGATAGATAGATAGATAGAGACTGAGACAGGCATGTAAAAGACAGGGAGACAGACAGGCATGCAAAAAGACAGACAGATAGAGACAAACTGATAGATAGATAGATAGATAGATAGATAGATAGATAGATAGATAGATAATTTGGTTCAGGGTACCTAAATCTAAAAAAAACTGAGAATACCTAATTTTTTTATGTGTCGCATATTTTGTGAAACATAGTCTCCCGTGAATTTATCGTATTAAAATTCTATCGAGTGTCCATGATATTCCAGAACTTTTTGAAGAGATTCCAAAGAATTTTAGGCGTACACTCTCTATGCATTGTGAAACATGCCTTTTCAGTAGAATCCCTACTGTTCCAATGCATAATGCAATATCTTTATTTACCAATGGGCCTTTGGAATCCTTGTTGCAGCCAGAAGATTCAAGGTGTAACTTGCCATCTTCGTCCTACATTTTCTTATTTCATTGGACAGGTTATCTCCCAGGGAAACATTCCCAAGATGCTGATGCATTACCTTGAAATCAGCTCATGAGAATTATTGTCAATGTCTGTCGATGTAAATAAAATCATTGATGTTTACACGGAATTGTCTATATTGTGTACATCGTCTCAATGATTTTATTTTTGTTAACGAAGTTAAGCAATATTCTTCTCACACAGAAAGGGAAGGGTAACCCTTTCAGGTTATTCATTACCCCCCACCGACCCGCTGACAACGAATGACGAGGAGAGAAAGTTCAGCTTCTCAAACAGGGGCAAAAGTTCCGTTATCTTGAATGTCACCCATGTGGTCAACACCTGCAGCATAATGTCAGCCTGTGACCAGGAAGGGCGCCGTTTGAAATACTCAGTCCAGATAATACATTTTGAAATGGGGGTCAAGAACCCGTTGCGAAGAGATGAGGTCATTTCACAAAGAACGGAAGCGAATTCTGGGAGGGTTTCAAAATTAGATAAAGTTTGCTTGGAATCGAAATTGAATCACCTTGGTGTGTTTGCCTCGAAGAGAGACTGTCCAAAGAGTTTAAATTCAGGAAATACGAGATGGAGTTGTTAGTCTGATTAATCTACACTGTCTTACGGCTACTGATATTTTACTACATTGGATTTAAAAGTAAGGATTATGCCCCTCTCCCGATCGCAAACGGATTATTTTGGATTATCTTACTAATCACCGCTCTAATTAACTCATCTTACTTGCCGATACCGTTCGGAGAAATGGTGTATAGGGTACAGGCCTCGGATTAGGATGACCACAAAATGTCCCCTTCGGCCTTCTGTGATCACAATTGCGGTTGAAAATTTAATGCGGTTTTCTGTGTTTAAGCGTCGAATGGAAATTTATCTAAGAGAATCGCGAGTCCTCACCACTTATTGCTGGGGCAGAGATTACTGAAATAAGTCGAACACAGTACTTTTAGGATAAAAGTCAAATAACTTCGTCTACGATTCCAATGCTTCCTAATTACAATATTGTATTGTGGAAATTGCGAACGGCGCAGTTTATCTCGAAATAGATTAGCTTAGACTGGTACAAGGTCCAAGTAGAAAGAAAACTTAGCCTATTTTAAATTTGACTGCAGTACGAAGCGTTTTTTTTTTTTTTTTTTTTTAACATGATTTTGTTGGCTAGCTTTTGTTGAAATATGAACTTTATATTACGTCTTTGCCTAAATATTTGAATCATAAAATGTAAAAGCCTGTGATAATTCCTCGATCAGTCTATTTTCTCAAGGACACATGGCACAGTGGATAAAGGCGTTAGTTAGATCCTGTGAGGACCCAAAGAATGTTAGTTCAATACCTGGTTAAGGCGGTGGAGAAATTGGTGAGGGTAATTAACGGGAGGCATCTGATAACTGACATCCATTAGACATGGCACGTGGAACTAGAACAGTCTACCCCAGTGAGCGAAATAAAGGGTTCAGTTCGACATTCCGACCACCTGAAGAAAACCGGCGCGTACAACGGCCGAAACGTTGTGATAAATATGGCGACAAAGATGAGGACAATAGTCCGAATAATGTAAATAGTGTCTATTTTCTCATATTGTCTTAAACAAATGTTAGTAGCCGTGTACAATACGTACCGCAATCAGAAATAATTATCTTTAGTAAAAATTTAATCATATTACCGATAGATTAAGCATTTGAGACCATTAATGACCACTTTTAAAAAAAATTAATTATTATAATTATACTTGTTCTTACCTTAGTTAGCACGACCATTATGCCCTGCCAGTACCTTGGGTTCAGAGGCGGAAGAGACGTATTAGAGAAGCTACTTGGTTTCAGTGATAAAATGAAAGAAAGAAATGACCGTCACGTCCTGCTAATACCTCATAAATAATGGAATATTCTGTTTTGATCCCGTGAAAGATGGAAGATTCATAAAGACGCTACTTCGTTTAATTGAGAAAAAAAACACATCAGTCAGCATTGAATGGTTCCTTTGCATCAGTGCAAAGCATCCAATTTTTGAAGAAGGAGTTAGATAAATTTTAAAATACGCCGACCCTAATGGTTTTTTACTTAGAGAAATCCGAAAGAAACGTTAATGGAAACAAACAGTAGACAATATGTTGAAAGGTGGAAAAACTAGAAAGTCAAAAAAACAAAAAAAAAAAAAAAAAAACAAACAAAAAAAAAACACGGTAAATGCTTACAATCGGAACCAACACAGAAAAAAATGCTTTGGTCTCAAAAAAACATTTTGAATCATATTTTAATTCTGATCACAATAAAATAACTAGCGGAAATAAAATGTATATCAATATACGACAAATCATAATAAAGTAATTTAATAAAAACGGACTAATAAAACATCCCTTGACAATGAGGCTGAAATTTTGGAAAACAGGTTTTTGGGATACTTTAGCGATACGTTGGTTTGGTTTGGTGGTATATCAACATCTCTATGAGTTATTTAAATCTGAAATCTAAATATTTGGTATGTAATTTTATACTTTCATCTACAGATATTTTGCACATATATATATATATATATATATATAGCTGACCACTCATATTCGAGGACACCCGTCCACTAGGGTGCATTTGTGCTTATTCAGCACCTACAGAGGCCAACTTTATACTGCAACTATACTGAGCAGACCTTAGTTACAGTTTCTGGGAAGAGCGTGTTATCTGTCGTATTCAACAATTTGAACAAGGCCAGCATGCTCCCCGTCGATAGCTCCCACGATGACAGCTATCGACGACATGCAAGTGTTCCTTCTACCCAACTTGGGTCAAAAACCGTTGCATGGTTTCCAAAGGTACCGTACACTGGGATCCTTCTTGACAAATCGACCATGGTGAGATTCGAACCCGGGTCTCAAGATCAGAATGCAAACGTTTTAACCACTCGGCCACGTAACCATACATACTATCATATTTTCAAGGTAAAGGAATGATGTTTTTAGATATATAGTTTGTAGATCATAAAATGTATTGTTGTTAATTTTACTATAAAAATGAATGAGTTTTATTTTAGTGTTGCGTTGATTGTAATTTCGCTATAAAAATATCTTGTTAGTCATTTTATTATAAAAATGTACTGTTGATTTTTGTTTTAGGGTTTCCTATTTGTTGTAGAGTAGTTTTCACAGTGGAGGCTTGTATTACAATAAGTCGTCCCTAAATTAGGTTCGACGTACAAAACGTAAGGAACTTGCAATAATGACGCAGCAATCTAGTTGTGATGGTTGATACTTCAATGTCCGACATCGACTGACTCGCTCAACTCCACTGAGCCCAACTGGCTACCTCTACTACTGCTACTACTTATTATGTGTGGGAGAGTCTATTACAATGGAATAGGTAATGTTCTGGTATAACACTATTTTTTTCATAGAAGAGACTTTAAAAGACGCTACCACACCGGGTCATGGTGGACCTAGGAACAAAAGCAATTAAGAGGTGGTTTCTCACACCATAAAACCTCCAATTTTCCTCTCAGAGACCTTGCTACCGGATGTAGTTTATCGTCATACTCAAGACGTGTACTGATACGTAAATGACTGCCTAATTAGAACAGCTAAAGAAGAGACTATATAAATGCCCCATCAGTAAGTGTAGATCTCGGTACGCGAGTTTCATGTGCTGGATTCACTTCTCAGCCTATTATATTCGCTCAAGCCCCAGGGGGAGGACTGGGTTTAATGGGGAAGTAACGAGGGAGCTTGAGGAATTTTTTTTTCGGTATTGCCTTTAAAATTATTTTAAACTGACCTTGCCACATTTGGTGACGGCGTGGACGCACTGAAAATCGCGCTCCCGGTATATGAGATAAAAGACTGGTGCTGGACAAAAGGAAATCTCAATTCGTGACAAATACAATTACAAGCTTCTCAGTTTCAGGAAAGAAATTCCGGAATCAGAAACGCATACCAAAAAAAAAAAAAAAAATGGGTTTTATCGCGCTAATGCACTTTGAACGCAAAAATGTAGTCCTCAATAGTGACTTACATACAAAGTGGCTGGGCACCTCGAGGTGGTGTAATGGTTAGCAAGCTTGCCTCGCTAGAATAATTACGACTGAGTAGTGAGTTCGATCCTCACTGGGTGCCCCTTACTTTTGGCCATGTGCCACATCTAAGATACGCTTGGAAAATTACTACATACAAAGTGGATTCATTATTGTGAACGTTCCAATGAACACTGGATTAAACAGGATCTCATTGTTTTATGAAAATCTACTATCAAATCTGTTTTCTTTTCGTTCTTGTACAAAGTACAATCTGGGTAATGGCATAAACGTAATCGAAAAACTCTATAATATTGTATATCTCTCCAATAGAAAAATGCTTACCTGCTTTGCCAATCTCAATGTTTAATTATAAAAAAAAGTTTAGTATTAGAATGTCACTGCTAAAACTTTAAGGAAGGTTTATGCATAAATTACTTTTCTATTATTATTATGATTATTATTATTATTATTAGTGAATATATGGAAAAAAGCCCTCCAGGAAGAGAAAATCTGACGCTAAGTATGTAAATTAGTTTTTCAAAAACCTCTTGTTGAAGCTTAAATAAGCATGGAATAATACAACACAAAATGTACGTTAACAAAATTTATTGAAACAAAGAATAGGTACACAATATTTACAGTTAGTTTGGTATATTCTTGGGAAGACTGTTCCTGCATAATGGGTTGACTAAATCGCAGTCGGGCAGAGTCTCTGGATTCAATCTCTTAATCTCTACTATCTTCCCCGTCTTCCGGTACCAACCCATATTTATATGGTCGGTAGTCCGCTTATGTAAATTAGGTGTATCATACACAACACCTCTCAACCTTCAATTTCTAGGCTATTCTTCGAAATCCGAGGTGACCCCACATTTTTGTCTCTCTCTCTCTCTCTCTTATATATATATATATATATATATATATATATATGGTGGACTCTCCTATCGTGAACTTCGAAATCCGAGGTGACCCCAAATTTTGTCACTCTCTCTCTCTCTTATATATATATATATATATATATATATATATATATATATTTTGTGTAAGCAAATGTAAATGGATATAGATCCGACAGAATGGAAGAAAAATTTTGAAAAACAAACAAAAATCCTTAAATGCAATTATGTTGTTTAAAATGAATGAAATGTCGACGTCTGTTTTGGATAAGACTTGTTGTTTATGTCCATCGTCTTTGTCAAATTGAACTGAATTGTATTTTAATGAATATTGTCTTGAAAAAGGTTTATTAAACCGAAACGTCAGACGTCGACATTTCATTCATTTTAAACAACATAATTGCATTTAAGGATTTTTGTTTGTTTTTTTCCAAATATATA